CTAATAAAATATATTGTATAGATCAAATCTCGGTAACTTAAAACCTCTATAACTTCAAAAAATAATATGTTTCCTTCCCATCAGAGCCCAAAACCTCTACAACAAAGACCCTTGATAACTTAAAACCTCTTCCAACTTAAAATATTTTGTGTTTTCCTTGGACTTTAACTTATCGAGGTTCTACTGTATTATCTAAGTGTGCACTAAGTGCTAGTAGTGTGACCTGCTGTTCCAGTTTCTTCTGCAGCGTCTTGTACTCCGCGTCGGCCTGCTGCAGGCGATCTTCTGCCTCCTTCTCACGACGACGCATCTCGGTTTCCATGTTCTGAAATTATATGATGATGATTTGATTAGTTTGTTTTTGTATTTTTTTAAAATTTCGTCAAATCATTAAAGTATTTGTGGTAACACACAGTGGTGACACTTAAATGTTATATTTGACGTATATCATTCTGCCAGAAATTAAGAAATGAAGTAAAGACGTTTGCTATTGTGAGCATTAATTAAAAATCCTGCTGATAAATTCACTTGTTTCGGACTTAAACTGAGATCGTTTTAGTAGTAAAAGACATAAATATATCATCATCACCAGCTCACTATACGTCCCCATCGAGGGGCTTGGAGCCTACCCTAATACGGGGTGACTGGGCCAACCAACCACGCTGGCCAAGTGCGGGTTGGTTGACTTCACACATATCTTTGAATTTCTTCGCCGATATGTCAGGCATCACGATGTTTTCCTTCACCGAAAGAACGTCGGGTAAATTATGTACATATGAAAAATCGAAAATCGCATTGGTACATGGCGGGATTCGAACCCAAGACCTGTAGATTACAAGTCAAGTGTTGAAAGCACGGAGCCACCGACGCTCTTAAAATATACAATCGGGAAATATGACAGTGATAAAACACCAGTGTTTAAATATATAAAAAGGTCAATCGGCATACTAGTAATCTTACTGACATTACAAATGCGAAAGTTTAGATGGATGTTTGTTAGAGTTTGCAGCCTAAACTGCTGATCGGATTTTGATAAAATTTTGCATATTATTCATATTTATTTGATATTTTTGCAATCTTTCCACACATATTATTCAACTTTGACACAGATATAAAACAAAGACTGAGGTTATACCACAAAAATGTCTGGTTTAGTTGAATTTTAGTTTTTTTGTTCTGCGCAGACAACATTCAAAACAATTGTTCCATATTATATAATTATTTTGCAACACTACTAATTGTTTTCTTAAGAGGCATACTTTTATTGCATGGAACAAAGCAATTTACTAAAAGAGTAACACTATGAATTTCCGAGACTGTACTTTTACCTTCAAGATGTTTTAAATGTTTAAAATTCACGATTTCTATACTTAGGATAGACTCACTTCAGTGTGAGACATATATGAAGGTAGTTATTGATAATGGTGTAAACAGACTTACAGCAATCTCCGCTTTGCATTCCTTCTTGATAATTTCCTTGGCGTGTTCTTTATCGAGACGTTCTGCAGCCAACTTGCCGCGGAAACCGCGTAAAGAGCTTTCAGCGTCTTCTAACTGCTTGTGTAATTCTTCTATATTCTTTTTATGTCTATATGTAAAGAAATATTATATTTACATCATAATCACTATTCGTTAATAATGTGCTATTTGTTAACAATGTGAAGTCAATTGTGTTGATTTTTTCCACCAAAAGTTAAAATATATAAGATGCTATCAAGTCTAAATTGAATTCTGTCAAGAAAAACCTAATATATTTTTCTCATACAATAAGTATATTAAGAATTATTAAAAATTGATGTTGAAAAATTATTAAAAATACGTAATAACGTAACGTAACGTACGAACAAAAGTTACAAAACTCGCCCTGAAGTGACCCAAAAGGTCTGAAACTAGTCGGTGCCGTCAATTTTTACGTAATAAGCAATTTAATTTAAAACTAAATGAAATCGTAAAAACATTTTAATATACTAGAGTGTGAAGTTTGTTATCAGAAACATATTTATGTAAAAGTTCATCGTCCGGGAATCGAACCCAAACTTAAGGTTAAGTAAATAGTCAATATTGTTAGGTATAAAATTAGTACCGTGCTATAGAATGCGCAACTCTAGATTATCGACATAAACGTCACGTCCCTAGCTGACAGCTGTCAATGTCAATACAAGTATGGATAGATTTGGCGCGCATTCTGAGTCCTGACGAGAAGTATTGCTCTGAGTTTAAAGCGACAGTATTAATTAAATAAGTTGTCTAATAATATATAGATAAGTGTGTACTTCTCGTTGTGCATCTGCGTGGTGTAGAGCACGTCCTGCTGCGAGGAGTTGGTGGCCTGCAGCAGCGCCAGCGCGTGCTGCAGCGACGCCATCTGCTCCGTCGCCCCCTGCACCGCGCACAATTATTTACATTGTGTTTGCATTCATTTGGACCAATTCAGTTTTAATCCCATCTATCTGTATTATTATAATAAAGCGTAAACACACACTTCTTTGTTGCCTAAGATGTCAGCAATTACACCATATTTTTTAATCATTCTTTTTTTAATAAAAAGCCCTACACTTACGCCACGCTATGGCCCTTAAATGTATGATTTTTTATTTAATTATGAAATAAATATTTCAGTATAGGTTTTGAGCCACAGAATAAGGGAAAAATAAAAAAAATCTTGGTTTCAATAAAAACTATACTTTTGTTTTAGACTTTTGGCAACAATATGCATTTAAGGGTTAGGCTATATATTTTCACGCCATTGAACTTACGGGGTAAATATTTTGAAAAAAAAAAAAGGAAGCAAGGTCGTCATCATGTCAGGTCATTTTGACATTTGTAATTGATAATTTGACAAATGTAAACAATAAAATAAAATTTTCATACTTTCTTTTTAGAAAATAAGGTGGCAAACGAGCAAGCG